TCTATCTATCTATCTATCTATCTATCTATCTATCTATCTATCTATCTATCATCTACCTCTCTCTCTCTGTTTTTCTGTCTCTCTATATCAAGGGCGTCAAACTCAAGGCCTGTGGGCCGGATCTGGCCTACAGGGTGCTTAGATCTGGTGTGCAGGGCTGCACTGGAAACAGTGAAGGGTTGGCCCGCAATGCCTCTGCTATCAAAAACTGAGCTCGAGAGCCCCCCCCCCCCCGAGCTCCATTTTCGCTGTCAAGAGGGTTGCAGGAGAAGGTAACAACAGGTAATCCAAGCCAATTTAGGAACAATATATTTGAATGTTAAAAAAAACCACCAGCAGCAGTATTTTCTTCTTTGGTAAAATATCTCATGTGGGTTTGAATCGTAATCTGACTTTTAATCATTGTTATGGTATGTTTAGGATTACAAAGTATATGTTAAATTAATCTTTGGACACTGTGGTTATTTTTCATCTCCTTTGTCTCTTTTTCCAGCCTTTCAATCTGTCAGGACACAAAGGATTTTTTTTTATAGAGAAAAGCAGCAAACAAGAAAGGTAAACCAATGGAACTTTTCAAATAGGGTGTCTTAAATTGACTTCCCTGGTGCACATATCTTCATAAAACTAGCAGATGTCCATAACATTATCAACACAGTATGGATGCCTGTGCTATCGAGGAGGCTGAAGGGTCAGAAAAACCTATCAAATGGTCTTGTTTTGCAGATCATTCAATGGAAGGTGAGCAGGAGGGAACCAACCTAAAAATAAGGAGAAATTTCCTGACAGTTAGGAACAATGAACGGCTTGTCTTTAGAAGTTGTTGGTGCTCCATCACTGTAGGCTTTTAAGAAGAGATTGGACAACCATTTGTCTGGAATTGTATAGAGTCTCCTACTTCAGCAGGGAGGGAGAGTTAGACTAGAAAGACCTCCAAGGTCCCTTCTAACTCTGTTATTCTGTTAAGATTCCTTCTTTGGAAGCTGATGCCTGCAGTGACACTCCAGGCCTCTGACTCTAAGGTTGCCAATTGCAACTCACCTTTCTGCCAGCCCTCGTTTTGTCAAGCCTGAAATGACAATGGGATCAAAAGGTTCTTCCGTGCCTGAAATAGTGATTCCCAGGGGCCCACCATATCTCTTCAATTCCACTGTGTAGATGATAGCCCCGGTGGTTTCTTGCTCATCTGTTAAAAGGAACAAAGAAGCAGAATAATCACCTATGAAGGCAAATAAAGGCTGAATAATGATGACAGAAGTCATAGAAAGGCCAAGCACTGAAGAAGTTCCAGTCAATCAGAAAGAAAAACTTGCAGCCCTCTGAATCTTTTTGAAAGGGCCTGTTTGTATATAGGAAGGGTGTGAATATGCAAGCGTATTAATTAACAATATTGATTCACAATCTGTCAACCTCATTAGTCTTCGAAAGGATTTTTTTCCCCCGTCAACAGACTAAATTCAGAGTTTTTGTACCAGAGTTATCCTCATCCTTCCTGATCTTCAATTTGACAAGTTCTTCACACTGTTTTAAAATCTGCACTGCGTCTTCCATTGAGCAATTGTCAAGTCGGATATTATCAATAGCTAACAGCTTGTCTCCGGGCTCCAAGGTGCCAGTCCTGCATACAAAGAGAAAACAAATCTTTTAGAAAACATTCTAAATAGTGTTAACATTTGTTCCTCTCAAGTGCTAACAGTGTTGATGATATGATGAAATAAGTGTTGGGCAAACAAAATCATCCATTTTTTTTAGTAGCTGTCTTTCAATATGGGGGGGGGGAATTGCTTTAGAAAATGTTTTTTTTTTAAAGAGAATCTCAGAAGAATTAGCCTAGTCTCCTTGCACTAAATTTAACTACAGAGAGGCCAATAGGTATAGATATAATTATATTGTCTTCCATATGAAGACGAATATACATGTCTGAGGAGAATGTTGTAGGATCCGATCCGGGTTGTTTACTGCGATCAGAGGTTTTGTCTTCCGAGCTTTAGGGCTTGTGCTGAAGCCCATCTTCAGGGAAATTCTCTCTAGCTCAGGGATCTCCAACCTTGGCAAATTTAAGACTTGTGGACTTCAATTCCCAGAGTTCTGGGAGTTTAAGTCCACAGGTCTCAGAGTTGACAAGCTTGGAGACCCTGCTCTAGCTAGTCCGAAAGTTTGGAAGACAAAACCTGTAGTCCTGGTGACCAACCCAGATTGGATCCTGCTATATTGTCTTCTATTGCACAAACATTTTTTCCGGATTTAACAGATTAACAGAATTGGAAGGGACCTTGTAGGTCATCTAGTTCAAACAGGAGACCCTACACCATTTCTGACAAACGGCAGTCCAATCTCTTCCTTGAAAGCCTCCAGTGATGAAGCTCCCACAACTTCTGAAGGCAAAGTTGTTCCATTGGTTGACTGTTCTCAATTCTCTTGAGAATTCTCATTTCTCTTGCCTCTTCATGCTTCAGATGAGATTCCAAAACAAGACATTAATGCATGTCTCTTTCTTTTAGGGTTATTCGGATTGGGAAGGGCAGGCAACCAAAAGGCTTTAGACCCAGTCTTTCTCAATCCCAGCAACTTTCAGATGGCTGGACTTCAACTCCCACAATTCCTCATCCAGCAATACTGAAACACTGCTTTAGAATGAGGCAAAGTGAAAGTGAAACACCAACCCCATCACTTTGGAGCATCTTCAACAAGAAAGGAAACGCAAACATTATGAAGAGGAATTTAAAAGAAATTCCCAGACACCTTGAGATAGAAAAAGAGATGCTTCTTTCTAAAGGGAAGAACATTTCAAAGGTAGATTTTGGTATAGTATTAGTCTGAACAAGTACTGTATGTGCCAGCTTCATATGTATTAATTGGGTTCAATCGCATATTAGAATCCAGAATACCTATGAAAGATGGTTGAGGTCACAGAGAGGTATTACAGATATTATGAACAAATTCATTACTATTGTCTATTAAGATTCAGAAATAAAAAAGCAGGTAATTCACTCACCTATGTGCTACACTCCCCTTCTTGATATCAGAGATAATTAAAGGCTCACCAGACTTTCTGCTTGCTGTTTAGGAAGAGATACATGCAGACACTCAATCCAGGCATTTAGAGTCCATGATAATCTTCAGAATTATCTATTACCAGCCTTCCACAACCAGGCATTCCTGCAGAATTCCCAGTCGTTATGGCCATTAGAGCACACCAGGTTGCAGAAGACTATATAATCCAAGCATTATACAAAGTAGGAAGCAACACAATAAATTTCCCTTTTTCAATTTCCCTTTAATAAAAACATCTAAGCCCAAGCTACTAATGTTTAATAAAATTCACAAAGCAAAGATATTTGTTTTGCTTTCGAGAACTGCTATCAAGGATATATTTTAGCATCTTTTCTTCCCATGAAAGAGAGAGTAACCTTTGGTTGCAGCATATTAGTGTGGCAAATTATGGTTGAAGAAATGGATCTGAATGATAACCAAGAAAAAATATGACAAAGGTCTTTTTTTTTTTTAAAGGCAAATATTCAGCCCTTTATATAGAGCATGCCTATGTAGAATTCACTTATGTTGTGACTGATGGATAAAATGAGGCAATAAATATTTTGAAGGAGGCACATCATATCCATCAGAAGTTTATGATTGAGGTTGGCACAATGCTTTGCTTTGTGGAAGCATCACAAAAGTTGAAAGAGGAAACATGTTAGGGCTAAAAAAGAAAGAAAGATCGGAATAACAGAACAACAGAGTTGGAAGGGACCTTGGAGTCCAAGCCATTGCTCAAGCAAGAAACCCTATACCATTTCAGGCAAATGATTGACCAATCTCTTCTTAAAAACTTCCAGTGTTGGAGCATTTAAAACTTCTGGAGGCAAGTTTTTCCACTGATTAATTGTTCTAACTGTCAGGAAATTTCTCCTTAGTTCTAGGTTGCTTCTCTCCTTGATTAGTTTCCACCCATTGCTTCTTGTCCTGCCTTCAGGTGCTTTGGAGAATAGGTTGAACTTTGTGGCAGCCCCTTAGATATTGCAACCCTTAATCCTTATTTTCATTAAATTAGACATACCCTTTTAATGCAGTTAATGCAGTCAAGGACTGTGTTGATTCCAGATCATTCTGGAGAAGGTCTATCTATATAACTGTTAAGAGTCAATACTGATTTGATGGCAAATAATCAATCAATCTGTTTAAAACACATCTCATATCAATCACTTTGCATTTACTTTTTAAATACATAGCACTTTAGTTCCCTAACCTGGAATCAATGCTATTAAATGGCAAAATTCTTAATTCCTACTCTGGGAGCTAAAAAGCAAGGTGGGAACTAAAGCTAAACCTGTCTTTCACTAAAATGTAACATAAAAATAAATTGGAGATTGTTAAAGTTTAGAGATATTATATGAAATAGTATATTCAAGATTTTAAACACTTAATTTCATGCATTTTTTTAAAAAATTGACCATTAATATGAAAGCATGACAAATCTGAATTCTGAACGAATATGTCTGAAACCAATGCTCGCCAGAAATTAGTGCTTCATTTCTAGCACAGTTAGAAATGAAGTTTTAAATTTACAGCAGACCTTCCAATTCCTGAAATATAATTAGCTGCATTTCCTTTTAAGGACTCCATTTCTAAAACTATTTATAGAATATGCTACTCACAGCTGTGGAATATTTGGATATCTTCCTCTTATTTGTCCACAGGGAGTCCAACAAGGGGAGAAAGCCAAGTTAAGAGAAGGGTTTTTTTTTTAATCATTACTTCTCAGAGATGTAAGTAACAGTTCTAGGTGGGTGACTTAGATTTGCTTCAATAAAAAGATTCATGCTGTGGAAACAACATGATTGTCATTGTCTCTTGCAACTTGTCCCCAGTACTGTCTGAAGCACTTGATGGCTTAGTACACAATAAATGTTACAATACACACATACACAGCCAAACAACCTGGAAGATGTTTGGTGTATTCCGAGGGGTTTCCAAACAGATTAACCACCCGGAAAAGCAAAGCAAACCTATGAAGATTAGCACAAAATTGGTGGTGTGGTTTGAGAAAGTATTGTTGAACCTTGGTAGCAAAGCAGAACAAACCATAGTAGCCCTTAGCACATTGAATTATAGATTCAAGATTGGAAGAAGATAGATGCAAGGTGTTAGTTTCCAGACTAATGAAGGTCCTAGAGACTATGATGTAAACAGCCAGTTGCAAATGGTTTATGGAGATTCTTAGTCAACCAGGTCATGGTTGTCCCAAAGGTGTTTTTTCAAAAGGCAGTTGGACTTTCTTTGTTTTTGCTTGAAGATGTCTTTTCATCCAAGTTCTGAGGAAGTTCTTGGATGAGAAGTGAAATGTCTTCAAGCAAAAACAAAAAAAAAGTCTAGTTGCCTTTTGAAGAAGCACCTTTGGGACAGTCACCTGCAAACTTCCCCATTATCAGTAAAGAGATTTGCAACCTTGCCAAATCATATGAAAGCTATTAGGAAGAAAAACCAAAATTCTTTGCCCTAATATCTATAAGGTTATAATGGACCTAAATGGAACAAAATTCAATTGCTGAAATACTTGTAACTCCTTGCAATCTCCACAAATCTCGCTAAAGCGAGTTCTGCAAGAATCTTTGGAAGAAAACCAATCATCTCTGGTTTTAATCAGCTGTCAAAATTCTTGACAAATGCAGTCTAAGACTAGAGATTCGGTTTGATGGCAAACCAGTATGAGTTGATGGATTTTGAGATTCAATTTTTTAAAAAAGTCCAAGATCTTGGGGGGGTGATGGAGGTGGGGAGCATGGATTCTTTGGCCAAGATGTAGCAAAATGATCATTGTTGTTTCTGATCATGGTTTCTGGTGAAACATGAGTATTGACTTAGTACATAACAGGATAGCAGTCTGGACCTCTCTCATTACTATCATTGGAATAACTCAATTATGCCAGGATTGTGGTTGGACAGCCAAAAAACTATTGACAAGCTAGTCAGAAGTAGCAATGGAACCAGGCTGATACAATGAGCTGTAATGCCAAAGATAACTGACCTTCAGTGAAACATGCAGATACAGAGAAAATTGTATTTATTGCCTTGTTACTACCTCACCTCAATTTAGGACATTGAATAGTACCTGAATACTCTAGCCTGGCACAGTGGTGGGTTCCTACTGGTTTGGACTGGTTCGGCTGAACATGGTAGTGGTTTGGCAGCCATGGTCGCTGGAACCATCAGCGACCCAGGCCTGCCACGCCCCCAAACTGGTTCCCTGGTTGGCGCCATCAGCGCCACCATCTTGTTTTTCAGTTCTGTGCATGTGCAGAACAATTTCAATTGCACTGTGCATGCACTCACAGTGTGCATCAAGCGCATGCACAAAGCGTGCACACGAGCGAACTGGCAGTAGTGCCGGCCAGAACCCAGTCCTGCCTGGCACCCGTTCTCTCACAGTGGAGAGCCAGCTTGGGGTAGCAGTCATGGTTCTGCCAATTAATCCTTGGAAGATTCAGGTTTATATTCACCCTCAGCTAATTCACTGGATGATTCTGGGCCAGTCACTCCCTTTTTATAGGATTATTGTAGGGAAAAGTTGGAAGAGGGAATGCTTTGACCATACTTTTAAGAACTGACTTGAGTTTCTAATTCTGTTGGCCGGACCCAGCCCAAAGTGTAACATTTCTTTAGTATAGGAGACCGCAAACGTGTGGTTCATGGTTGGCCATTCTAAAGAAGGTGAATGTGAAAAAAGAAAAGAAACCCCAAGGAAATTAAAATATTGCCATTCCAAAACAACTGCCTTAGGCAAAGGATTAAAAGAAACATTAAACTCTTTGCCTGGCTATTCATGATAGTGTCAGAAAGTCTCACCACAACTCAACCCCTCTAAAAATGCTCCTATTTTGAAATGGAAGCCCCAGCATAGGATATTGTTTATAGCAACCTCAGAAGCAGTAGAAACATCATTAAATTTGCAAAGAGCTTTGACATGACGCAGAGTGCTCAAAAGCAACATGATTTGTTTTGGTTTATTGAAGCAAGTCCACACTTCAGTTTATAAATCTGAATCCCTGATCTTTGGCTAGGTTTGCTACTACTGTTGGGAGACTAAAATACCCAGAAAGATCCAGGTTGTGAAAGACTGAAATAAGTATAAAATCAAAACTTTATTACAGCTTTTGGACCAGAAAGTGCAACAACAAAATACTTGCAAATATTAACAAAACATTTAAGAATGCAATAAAATTACAAAAATATAAGAGGTGGCATTCAGCAGGTTCTGACCAGTTCTGGAGAACTGGTAGCAGAAACTTTGAGTAGTTCGGACAACCAGTAAATACAACCTCTGACTGGCGCCTCCCCCACCTATTCTCTGCCTCCCGAGTCCCAGCTGATCGGGAGGGAATGGAGATTTTGCAGTAACCTTCCCCTGCCATGCCCACCAAGCCACGCCTACAGAACCGGTAGTAAAAAATTTGGAATCCCACCACTGAAAGTATATATATATATATATATTGTTATTATTGTGACTGTAGTTTTTTTTAAAAAAGCAGTGGTGATCTCCAAAATTTGTGCTAAACTTTACCTTTAGTAGGATGGATACAACAAACAAAATCAGACAATCTGTAAAGTTACATCAGAATCTTGGGCAGAGAGAAACAATGACAAATAGGTATTGTGCTCTCTACCAGGATAGTTCTTTAAAATGGGATAAATATATATCTTCCTAGATTCTTTATAGAGAGAGCAACAAAGGAGCATATTGCTTAGGGATTTCACAAAGCCATTTCCCCATGGGCAGAAGCACTTCAGAGGATGGTACATCCAACTTGGTCGAGGTGAAAGCTTCAAAAAAAATTCTTCAAAACTGAAGAGAGATAAGATGATAAGAGATAACATGACCATTTGAGAAGAATCCATACACTGTATGATATTAGGCTTAAACTCATTTGCAAATCAACATCCAAGAGGTGTTGTATAAGATGATTCCAGGTATTTTCAAGTCCCAATAGACTGAAAGTCCTAAGGACTAGAGTTTTGCCATTAGCCTTTGTTAGCCAGGTTGATTTAATACATTCTTCTGAAA